TGGTATCTATATAAATTTAAACGCAGTGCTAGACTGGCGGCAAGGTCTCATTATTTTACAGTTGAAATGGCTAGATATTACCATAAATTCTATGCAAACAGTTTCTTCTCTTGCACTTCTCACTTGTAGAACTCTCTTCCCACTTCTTGCTTCCCAGTTAACATTGTTCTTCAAAAAGGTAAACACAATGTGAATCATTATTTTCTTTCTACTTAATCCTGGTTCATTTATTGTTCTCTCTCCTTAATAGTTTTTTTTTCCTCATATATTCTCTCACACTCCACAACCTTGCATCTTAGTGGTTTTATTGCCTTACTTGAGGTGAAATGAAAAAATACTAATGTTATTTAAAGAATCTTGGTCAAAAACTACAATTAATATATAGATAATTTTATGATGGTTAAGTTTCACTTTAAAGGAAAAAAAGTTATTCTCAGGTTCACTTGAGAAATGGAATAATTTTGCTTTTCAAGTGAAAAGGTGATAACAGTATTTAATGTTGCCAACATAAAACCTCTCTATCTTGTATTCAAATTCTTAAATTAGCCATAAGATTATTTTTAAATTTCAAAAGTAGATAATGTTTGTCTATTGTCAGAAAATTATGTTTGTCTTAGTCTCTTAGGTAAACTATAAACTAACACTTATTTGTCTTGCATTATGTAATGGAGACTTAGGCTATATGGCCTATCACTGAGCAGCACTTTCTAACAAGAGCTGGCCTACAAGTCCTAGGTTCAATCTAGAACAGAGGTGTTTTTGTAAAGGAGATTATGCTAATCTTTGAGCCTTATGGGATTTAGAATTTTTGAGTTATCATTCTCAGCCTTGTTAAGTGGTGCCTTCCAGGCATTACATTGGCCTTCCATGTTTGTCTTCACTATAAGCAGCCTTAACTCTTTTCTTGAATGTTATCCATTAAAATCTGGTTTGTTGTTTCCTGTTTGGTTTCTTTCTTTAATTATTTGCTTGGCAACTTCCTACTTTGTTTTCCATCAGTGCTGGAAGCACTCAGAAGACTTGCTTAATGGTCAAACCAAGAGATATGGGCTTGGTAGTCTGATTCTTGATATTGCCAAGGTCTGCTAATTAGAAGGTGCATTGCTTACAAAAAAGGTAGCATTTATCTCTGGGGCCCTTTTGAGTTTCAAATTTTATGCAGAAGAGTAAGCCCTCACCCCACTAAAGGAGGGCACCTTTTTTTTACTTTTGTGCAGCCCTGACATATGTCTACTTTTTTGACTCTTATGCAACTGGACCTCTGTCTCGCTATCTATTGCTTATCAAAACAAATAAATAAGCTAGAAAAGGTTTTTATGCCATAAACCAAACCGAACTAAACTAAGTATACATGTCAAATATACATTTTCATTTTTCTTAAATTAGTCATCTGTTGCTTGTGATTGGAGTATTTCTTATCTACAAGTAAACTTACAAAGACTGTCCTCTTTGTTATATGTTGTATTTATTATCTGGCAATATACAGGTATTATACTAGCATTTGAGATATCTTTATCTCCTTTGAAATGTAGAGGCTTTGTGCCTTTAGTAATCACTCTCCTAACTTTAATACCAGCAGCTTGATTGCTGTTGAAATTATTTGGATATTTCTTTTAAACAAACTATATTCTATTTGTCAACACAGAAGGAAGCAGACACTGTTTTATATAACTTCCTGAAGATTAAGTAATCACTTGATTTCTAAAAGTGTCTGCTGATTGAATTAACTTTCAATTAGGCAACATTTTCAAAAATTCTCAAGTAAATGTGATATTTAAATAATTATGACAATATACTTAATTCTTATTACAAAGACACTCTTCACCTAAATACACAGTTTACAGATACTGAGTTAAAATTTCTTTAAAAAACTTCAGGAAAGCATTTTGTAATCTGTGGCAATTATATCTGAACATTTTTATTTTTACAAAATGTCACTTTGCTTAATTTATTTTATACAAAAAATAAAGTTTAAATACCTCCCACATAAAAAGGTCACTATATTCCTGTGATTCCTATAACTTTCTGAAATCCACCTTCATCATTATTTAAAATGGTCTTTTAAAAAAAGGAGTCATATTTTATACATAAAAAAGGGATACAAAAGTATCACAACAATTAAAATTATAGGTACCTTTCAGCCGACACATCTTCAGAAAAAATATTGTCAGCAAATAACGCTAAGTGCTTGAAAAGAAAAATTATTTTCAACGGCTGATGTTAAAATATACCAAAACTAGGAGAGGGAGCAAAAAAAAAAAAAAATTTCCTAGTTAGGCAGAGTTTAGTTGTCTACCAGTATAAATGTCAATGTGGGCAAAACTATGTGGGCAAAACTATTTAGAGGTTAGGATCAGCAAGTATGTTCTGGGTCAGGTACGTAAACATGAGCCTGTAGCATCTAGGTGTTCACAGGCTCAGGATTCCGCTATTGGCAAACATTTACTGAATTCTGTTGCTTGCAGGACAGTCTATTCTCTGGAGTTCTTCTGTCTCACACGGGGCATGAACCAGACTTCACTTTGCAGTCTGTTGTTATTAATATATGGTATCCTGCCCTGTGTAGGCAGAGAGAATTAAAACACAAGTTGGCCTTGTTCAGGGAAACCTACTTGCCAATTCAACACCTATTAGGAAAATGCATTGAAGCAGGTGGCTTGCAGTTCAAACAGTATCAGTAATTAATTAAACTATTGTTTACTATAGCATTTTGTTATTAACCAGAACCATTTTAATAATAAATTTCTGGACTGTTGATTAATTGCTTTGTCTTAATTGTTAATGTAAGTAACTGTATAGTGATTTTATTGCCATCCTGTGTGTGTGTGTATATGTATATATATATATATATATATATATATATATATATACACACACACACGCACAAGATGCAAAAATTATATCTGCCTAACCTAGTGTTTAGACATTTGTTTGAGAACTTTCCAGCATCTCACATATTGCTGAACATTACATTTTATATATATATATATATGTATATATTTACATTCAGACAAAAGCAATTACAACCTTTTTATAATAAATAACTACTGCTCTACTGGTATTGAGCCCTCTTTTGAATTCATGCTGTGAACATTTGAATTTATATTCTTTTCATTATTATTAAATGTGGAGATATATATGTGTGTGTGTGTGTATAGTTGATAAATTAATAAGATTATCTTTGGACCAACTTGAATGTTTTGCATACACAATGCTCATCAGAACCAGATAAATTTATTGGATTATTAACAGATATCATATTTATACTCCATATATTCAATAGGTTTATCTGATCAAGTGAGCATTATGTACATAAAACTAAAGTTGGTCAAAAGATAAATCAATTAAACTTAATTTAAATTGCACACTTTTTTACAAAAATTTTGTTTACTTTGGAAAAGGTTAAATTCTAGTAATTTTACATATTTTGATAGGCATTATTGATTTGTGTTATTTTATATACATTTTCGTGTGCGTATGTATGAGAGAGAGGGAGAGATATCTCAGTCCCCAAATCCTACTTTAGTTACAGAAGTCATCACCTGGTAAGTATTTTATTGGTTGTACAACAGCAGGTGAATATCAAATGTATGATACATGCTGGCTGAAATATCAATTTTGCTTTTGTCATTAGATGACGTTTGGAGTATTTAGTTTTAACTGACTTCATATTTTTATTTTAATTGCTTTTGATTGTATTGTGACAGTTGTCATAAGTTTGTATTTTTTAGAAAATTTGTCAAAAATTGACCAATTTATTGTTTATTATTGAAGATGGGAAAAATGAATGTAACATTTTCATTTATGTTATGCTTTTAAGAAAGGTAAAAACACAAACTAGATTTTTATGCTTTTGTCATTTTATGAAGCACATATTGTTTGTAATAAAATATCTTGAAAGTGTATTCTCCCTCCTTTCCTCACTCTTCATGCTCTAGTTGACCAATTAATTCTAAGAGCAATCAAATCAAAATATTACTTAAATATTATCAGCATTATACAGTGTGGGTGATAGCCAACATGTTCAAATCATGTGCTGAAAATCATTTGCACTAGATTGGTTATGGGAGTCATTTTGATGTGTGGCTTCCACATAAATGAAAAGATGCCTACTGAATTAAAATTTGAATTTTCGTCTATTTGCACTTTGTAACAAGAATTGAAAAAGGAATAATTCACAGCAGCACAGATTGTAACAGATTTGGAGGCAACTGAACTGAACCATCCCTAATCATACCAATGATTATTCTTCATCCAAAAAATATGATGTATAGTTAGGAAGTTTTCTCTGAAAAGCCAAACAATTGATTTTAACAAGTACTGCTTCCAGCTGATCTAAGACAGCAATGGATAAATGAAAAGTGTCTTAAATTATGCTGTAATATTTGATGAGGATCCCACTAGGCCACTGAATTTTTCTCTGTTGTCCAGCCAAAACTTGTTACAGCTTAACTGGATGGTTTTCCTTCATCTGCCTTATTCAGAAAATATTGCATCTTTGGATGACCATTTATTCTGGTCTTTAAGAAATTCTCTTAAATGAAAACGATTTCTACTCCCAGAAAAACTGCAAAACACACATTGAGCAATTTTTTTTTTTTTTTTTTAATGAGGAAGATAAAATGTTCTGGGAGGATGGAATTATAAAGCTGCCTGAAAGATGGCAAAAGATAGTGAATCAAAATTTAATATGTTGTTCAGTAAGGTAAAAGATTTTTAAAAAATTCTTTTATTTTTACTTAAACAATTAATACCCACCATCCCATTTTTCAAACAGTGGATGTTAATAGATTAGTAGAAACCTATATTTATACCAGATTTTAAGTTAAAAACCTACAATTAATATTGAATTCTTATTTTAATTTTTATGATTGGTACCACACTTTACAGTGGGCATGATGTATGGGTTAATAAATTCAATAAAGTTTTTCATTTACCCAATATACACAACTGAATATTTATCTAATGCTTTATTTTGTTTGTTTTTTTGTTTGTTCCAGGTACAAAATTTTATTCTTAGATGTTTTATTTCCACTTGATGTAAAGAAAATCCTATTTGTTGATGCTGACCAGGTAAGTTCTTTTTTTTTTTTTTTTTCTATAACTGCCTATTTTTAAACAATAGATTTTTTTCATTAGACTCTAAGTATTTTGTTTAGTTGGTGCATTTGTTTGAGCAGGCATCTCTATTTTCTTCAAACAAATTAGTATCTACTGACCTCGGGATTGTGAATCTTATTAAAGAAAATTTGGCTCTTGAACAGAATTAAGCCTGTATACCATTAATCTAGGAAGCCACCTTCAAGCCAGTTGCATTTTACCACTTAGCTACAAAAGCTGTTACAGCAATCACCTAGTTGGCTGGTGCCATGAGACCACTGACTGAACCTCTGCAGAGGTGTAACCTCCTCACCCCACCAATGCGACTGCGATGCCTGAGAATAGAATCCTAGTGGCTGAGCAGTCAATGACTTGGGTGAAGAAACAGTGATGTGAACTGCAACACTTTAGACCTTCTACTTGGACTAGACAAGCAGTCAGAGGCCTGATCTGATCAATCAGCTAGTCGCAACAAGCCCTAATACTTGTGTACATGCCAAAAAAAAAGAAATGTATATATGTGGAACAAAAAGTTTTTTACAGTCCAAGTATAGGGTTAGTGTGTCTGTTGATTGGTGCTTTTGAATATGATTGGTAAGTGGTCACACCCATAGGTGTCATCACATTTACCAGTCATAAGAGCAAATGTTAGGTCCATGTTAAAAAATTGTAGAAAAGTTCAATAGATTTAAGTGATATCTTTAGCACTCATTTTTTTGTGTAAGAATAGGCTCACATGAGCTCCAAATTCAAATTTCTACATTAGCATTTATTAATCAATCAGCAACATTATCTCAAACACTATTCAAACATGCAGACGACTATGTGTGTTGATTTCTATGAAATTGAAAGCTCACTGTAGAAAATGATTAAAAACATTTTTCCCTGATGTAACATTTGTTCTTAAATATGTCTGACAAATGTGATGACACCTATGGGTGTGACCACTTGCCAATCATATTGAAACACACCAATCAATAGACACACTAACTCCATACTTGAACTTTAAAAAACTGACTGAAAATTATTTAAGGAGCTATGTCAATCCCAACTGATCCCAGAAGAAAATAAAAAAAACAACAAAGACATAAATAATAAAGAACACATCACTCAATTTACAAAAAGACGTTATTGTAGAGCAATGAATACCAAAATCGGAATCTAGATCTCCTAAATATGCCAGACCATGGTTTGATGATGAATGTTCAAAAGCTATTAGATTATGATACAATGCACTCTGTAAATTTAAGCTGCACCCAACCCCTGAAAATCTAAACTTTTTTCAAAATAAAGCTGCTGCTTTTTGTTTATTTTTTACAGTAAGGTTCACCCTTTACAAGGCCCAAGAGCCACTCAAAGTAGAGGGTTATGTTAAGAGGCAATTTGTGCAAATAGGAGTGGAAGATTACGGAGGATAACCCTAGCTTTAAACAAGATTGTAGTGATTAGGGAAACATCCTCGTGGGAGTCAGTTCCACAGAGCAGTTGCTAACAAGAAGCTGTTAGAGTGGAACTTACTTCTCACCGATGGAATACGGAAGAAATGTAGGTGGTTTGCTACTATGTAAGTGGTATGGCTGGTCTTTACTGTGAAGCTTTGAATTGGCAGGACCAAGGAATGTAGTTTGTCTGAGCACTTTCTATGGAAGTAGTGACATAACAGCAATAGACTTGTAACATCTTGCCTGTGGTAAAGAGGTTGGATGGTGGCGAATAATTTGTCACCCTCAAAGGTTCAGAGACACTTTTGGACTCTATCAAGGCTGGTGAGTGAGGTCAGGGCAGCTCCTGCCTCATACAAGGAACAATTAAAAGCTCCAAGTGAACTTTATGGAAAAACTTTTTACTCAGTATCAACTCCAATGCAAAAACCAAATTTGTTTGGAATATGATTTTGTAAAAATTCTGGCAAATACAAATGTACTCGTTTTGAAACATTTCTCACAAAAGAACACTAAAGTTATCAGCAAAAAGGATATCATAAATCTATTAGCCAAACATTTCTCAAAAGATTTCTCATCAAATAATTATTGTAAACAATTCCAGGATGTTAAAAGAAACAAAGAGGGAGAAACTAAACTTTTACTCAAGCAATGAAGAAGATTATGACCAACCTTTCTTTTTATCTGAACTATTGGTCTCCCTAAATAAATCCTGTAATTCTGCTACTGGCCCTGATGTAATCCATTATGAATTCCAGAAAAACTTTCCTTCAATTATTTACTTGAGATATATAACAATATCAGTGGCAATATTCCAAGTCTCTGGAAACAAGCCAATTATCATTCCAATTCTGAAGACTGAGAAAGACCTGAAAAATCCTTTAAACTATCTGTCAGTCACCCTTATAAGTGGTCCTTGCAAAACACTTGAATGGGTGATTAATAATGGACTTATCTGGTTCCTTGAAGTTAACAATATAATTAAAAACTTCCAGTCTGGTTTTAGAAATAACAGAATGTAATAGACCAGCTGGTTCATCTGGAATCTTCTACTAGAAATGCTTTTATTGAAAAGAAAAACTTGACCACGGTTTTCTTTAACATAGAAAAAAGTCTATGATACTAAATGGAAACACAGCATTATACAAGATTTAAACAAAATGGGTCTTAAAGGAAGATTGCTTATCTTAATAACTTTTTAACAGAGCTTGTTTCCAATGCCTAAGTTCGCACCACCCTTTCTGTATATGACCAAGAAATGGGTGTACCAAAAGGGAGCATTGTTTTTATCTATTTTTACACCTGTCAGGTAGCATGTTTCAGTCACTCATGACAATCTAGTCAGTATGTCTCTAACTAGACTAATTGGTATAATCTTTAGATTAAGATGATCAGCTCACCATATATAAATTCACATATGAAATTTTCTATGAACTGTACCAGTACCATAGGAAGAATTTTGTCTTATATATATATATATATGTATATGTATTTATCAGTGCACCCACATCACAACCGAATGTGATACAAGGTTAGTTTAAAGTGGGTTTACCTGCAATATCACAGAAAAATTACTCAAGCCCCATCGGCACATCCTCTTTAGGTGATGCCTGAGGCACCAGGTAATGACCTTAGCACCTTCCCAAAAGAGAGGTACTGCCTGAGGGCATACTCCCCTAGGGTTTGAGCTGATATTATTTTGAAAATACCCAGTCCAAACCAAAAATAACATTTACAAAATTAGCAGTAACATTTAATTTGCATAAAAATTTTTAAAAGCATATCTTAATAAATATTTCATTTATTTTTATGTCCAGATTTTAAAAATTATCATTTATAAGCAATGTTTCTGTTGATCTTTTTTTTTTTTTTTAAATTCATGTTTGTATAGACAGAATTTATATAGGCTTTATCAGAATTTAGTCATAAGTTAGAAAATCCACAGCATTCATAGTAAGCATTATTGTTGCCTGATATTTCACATTTGAACAGATTCCTCCAAAAATGTTATGGAAATTTTCTCAAAGTCAAAATAATCTGTTTAATTAGATTTTTCTTAAAACTGTATGAAATAAGTGAAATAATAGTTAGGATGCTGAATCTATTATTATTGTTATTATTAATATTAGTATAAACATTAGAAAATTATTAAAATGTTTTTCTTATGGTCAGCTTTATGTAGCTATGTCAAGAGGAAGAAATTCAAGTGGACATAGCATAATGACAAAAAGAATGTTGTTTATACAGAAATTTTAAAGGAAACTTTTGTGACAATTTATCATTTCAATATACATAGGATACATATTGGGTTAGTTTAAATGAATTGTGATGTAGTGTCTTTTCAAGTATCTCTTCATGGCTCAAATTTGTCATTCAACAATTTTTGGCAATCGCAATCAAAAGTGAATTCTATATTTTCTAAATAAAATCTTTAAAAAATTTTCTTTCCTCTCCAAAAAATAAAGTAAAAAGCCAATTTGTTTATTTCCATCCAGAAAAAGTCACAAATTATTTATTCAGCAGCTAATCGTTTCAATTTGATATCTAAATTACAACTTAATTTAAAAAATTACTTCTTTGTCTAGAAAAACCTTTCATTTTGCTACACTGAGATTGACATTTTTCAAACTAATTCCATGGCTAAGTTACATTTAATTATATTAAACTATCAATTTCATGTCTGATTTATTTGATGTATTAAATATTTATCTATTTTCAAATCTGTTGACCCATATTTTTTTTTAAGGTTTATTTAATGGTTTCTTTGCTTTTTTCACTCAGGTAGGCTCTTCATCGTAATCAGCTTTTCTCTCTGATGGTGTATTTATTTTATTTTAAACACCTGTTCTGCTTTGAATGTTTTATTGGCTCAGAGTGGTTGCTATTCCTTGTTGAATAATCCTATCTTTTCATAAAACAAAAAAAGGAAAAGATAATTTTACCTAATAAATTGTAATAATTTGTATGACAATAAATTCCATTAAGTAAAGCAAGAACACCTGAAGATACCTGATTAAATTGAAAAACGATTCTTAAGAAAGTAATCCAAATGATAAGGTCACATAAATTTTCCCAATACTCAAATTCTTGAAAAATGTCAATTTGATTAATTTCCTTTACTTACTTGATCTATGATAATAAAAATCTTTTACTTACTTCATTCATTAGACTCACACACATGCTTTCTGTGGATGCTTGTTAGTCATTGATGCGTAGCAAGCCAATAGCTTGGTTCTCACTGGGTGACCTAATATGGTAGCACTTTTTCTGACTAAGATAAGGCTAGTTATATATATATATATACACACACACACACACATATCTATCTATAAAAGGCAGGATGTGTGTGTATGTGTATATTCTTAAAGACCAGAAATAATGTATTTCGACGGATTTGCACCAAAATTTACATACGCATGCTCCAAGTTAGCAGGAAGGCCAAGACTGACTTTGCATTTCCCAACTCCCATCAATAGTGGAAATAATCGATTGTTTTCATGCTTCTACGGCAGTTTTCACGTAGTTTGCTGCCATTTTCTACTGGCCAGAGTGAGAGCCTATAGCTGGCTGCCACGAATAGGCAGGAAGATTCTATTGGCCAGCGTGAGAGCCAACAGCTGACTGACACCAATTTTTATCTAGCATGCAAAAAAATCGATAGCTGCATTCGTCACAAGTGGGAAAAATTTAAATCTGCATGGCACTTTACTCCAATTGGCTCATTCACTTGCTTAAACTCAACGTTGATTCTGATTCTGCAGAACTGGGTTGGGTGTGAAAAAGTATTTGTTGTTAACATTCTTTTTTCATTCAGTTTTTCCAGTCATGAGTCCTTTTTTAAAGCTGATCATTTTGTGTTCATTTTGTTTAGTTCTTTTTTCGTAAGAGATTTAATGTTTAGTATAGAGCTTAGAAAAAATTCGCAGTGTGAGATAGGCAAGAAGTAAGGCATGTAGCAACATCAGCACGGCAAAGGGCACTCCTTTAAAGGCAAGGAAGGGCAAGAATATTTTAAGTCAAGTGATAGCGATTGCTGTATTAGTCGTACGATTTTTGAATCAAGCATGGGCAACGCTGCTATATATATATATATATATATATATAAACAAAAGATGTCTGTGTATATGCTATTTATGCACATCCTCATTTCTCAACTGATTTCAATGAAATTGTACACGCATGTTGCAAATTTACTATGATAAGTCAAGCTCAACTTTTCAATCTCCAGACCACCAGATTTGGCAGAAAAATTGATAAAAGTGAAGAGGGTGGTAAGACTTTTTACAAAAAAACAAGGCAGAGTTACACAAAAACTAAATTTTTACTAGATGAGCTGATTTTCTTTGCACTTAATGCAAAACATCAGCTCATATTGCGAGGTTTATGCAGAGTGCTTAATAGTTTTCCTGCGACATTGGTTTCACATAAACAATTTCAAAAAACTGAAAAAAATTGTTTTTCATACTACTATAAAAACTTGAATAACTTTCTCATTTTTCATCTGATTTTCTTCAAACATGTTGCAATTAATTTGCCATCCTGCAAGGAATAAGATACTGTGGTTTTAGTCCTGCTCACTTCCCCGAATGTAACAAAAAAAAAACACAAAAAACTGTTCAAAAAGCCTTTTTTCAGCCATTTCTACCTGGTTTTTAATCTGATGCTATCCAAATTTGCCATGTAAATTATATATGATGCACAAATTGTCTTGTGTGAATGTTTGGTTTAGATTATTTTAGTTAAGTGAACAGAATCTGCAACAAACTAGGTCCAAAATTGGCTTTTGCCATTAAGCCAATAGTTTCTTCATATGATTCCATCATAAATTGATATTTGAACAACTGTTGATGCAAAGTTTGTTTTAGAAGGATTATTGAAGTGTTAAATAGGAAAAATTCTCAAAGAACTTCTTATTAACCCCATCTTTACAGTAATTACGCAAAGCAGGAGTGGGGTCGTTCATGCATTTGCAGTTGAACCAAGCTCTTACGCTTCATCCTTGTTTTTGTTTGATTATTAGATTTGTGAACAATGCCATACTATTTGAAAGTTATTATGGCCATAGGAAATTTACTGAATATCTAAAACATTGAAACAATTTAACCCCAAGCAACAATCACACAAGAAGATTTTATTGATGGAATTGCAGTTATACAATGGCAGTCATGTACACCTAGGCAACACTGGTTAACTCGGTCGGTTAGTGTGTGCGTGTGTGTGTGTATATATATATATATATATATATATATATATATATATATTTGTATATCACCTTTTTTCCACCAGCTACACCTGGTGTTGTAACCACATTTTAGTAGTTCAGTCCTCGGGGTCTTAGAATGACATTTTAACAACTGGGCTAGCTCTGTGCTGGTCTATGCTGCTGCTGGTTGTTGGTTACTGGCTACTTTGATCCACACCAACTCTGCCCATGCTGTGTTCTTGATCACAGAGCAATGGAAAATTGAAGGTCATAGTCTCACAGCATTCGATCAAGCCATGGCAGGTGCTATATTAAGGAAAAAGATATCTTCACAATGAAAAATAAAACAAGAGATTCGCGGGGTTAATCTTCAGTTGGTTTATATAGCTCTTGGTACAACAAAAATTAACCTTTCCCACATCAATTTCTCTAGTGACACTGGGCCTTGTCTAAACTTTTGGAGGAGCTGGGTTCAAAGTCTTGGAATCAGGAATTCTGGTAGCAGCTGACATGGATTTCAGAGGCACTCTATGCTGGTTTTCAGCCCAAAGTCTCTGAGATCCCCAATGTCAACTGTTTATCTGCATTTTGGTCCAAAACTGGCATGGGACTGAAGAGTTCTGCAGATCAGTGATTACCCAATTTTCATTAATTCCAATAAAGGTTTTCTTTGTTCCCTATTTCTGCTTTCTTAATCAACTTTCCAAATCTGGAGAATTATTCCCCTTCCTTGAGAGTACTCACAGGGATTGCTCCTCCCTTAACTTCAACCTGCTTCACTTCACATCGTCGACTACTACTCCACACAGGCAGAGTTAAAATCTGCCTCTTCCTCATTCCTTCCTTGGTATTCTAAATCTGCCCACTTTTCAGGGCTGGCGTCACTGTCTTTGACAAATCTAATTTTTAAAATGCATAGGAGAAAGGGCATAGTTCATTCTCCTCATTAAATTCTTTGGCTCCCTTTCTTGGACATACCTGTCCAGTGAGAACACAACCTAGATCACCTCATTTTAATGTTCTGAGCAATAGATAAAACTTATTTATCAATTTGTTTTTGTCAATGAAAATATATTTGTTTACTTAAATTCTCAACAAAGAGACATGCTG